AGTTCCCAGCACCCCCTGCCCTTGGGCCTCGCTTTGCTCGAGCAGGAGTTGCTCTAATGCCGAGCCTATGTTTCTCACTTTTGATTTAGAAATTCCATCACCCAAAGTTAAGTAGTCTCCATCGGGAGAACTTCATCTGGAATCTGAAAAATGTACCTCTTCTGGAGAAATATCTGCATGTCTTGGGCCCAAGTCGAAATACATTGTCAAACAGGTCCTTCAGCTGTTCAAGAATGAAGTAATGACCAAATTCAGTCATTTTCGAGAATGTGAGTATTCCCCCACTCAAGAAAGTATTTTTATTGATACATAAATTGTCAAACCTTGAACTGTCAGAAAAGTGTGAAGGTTCACCGAGCTTTATGAAATCTTAAAATTTTTCCTTATTTGCTTCTGTTGCTTTTTAGAGAATAATTCCTTCCCCAAAACTGATATATTCAAAACCAACTCTACACTTCACATGATTCCACACTCCCTTCTACATGCATGTTTTAATATTATTACTACAAATGTAGAGTAATATTTTACATATTGTCAAGCCTCAGATAAATATCACACTCTGTAATATTCTACAACTTGCCATTTTTTATTCATTATGTTTCTCAGATTGATCCGTTACATATATATAGTTCCAGTTCATTTAGTCCATTAGTTATAAATGGTGAAACTGTTCCATACTATGTATATGCCATAATTTATCTGAACATGCTATAATTTTGTTGTTCCATTCTCTTAGTGGAATTTTAGGTTGGCTCCCAGATTCTGCTATATACATACTATGCTCCACGGGAATCCTAGTGCCTGTCTCCTTATTTACAGTGACAACAGTTTTCTAGGGTGTAACTAGCATGGAGTTTGGTCAAAGAAAAGGAACTGAGGCACAGTTTTAGAAGGCCTGTCATGGACAGTGTGTGTCCCTGTCTTAGTGTGCTCAGGCTGCCATAACAAAATACCACAGACTGGGTGGCTTGAAGAACAGAAAACAATTTTCCCCCAGTTATGGGAGTGTAGAGTCCAAGCTCAGGGCGCCAGCTTGGTCAGGTTCTGATAATTCTCTTCGTGGCTCACAGACGGCCACCCTCCCTGTCCTTACATGAGGCAGACAAAGCGAGCAAGCTCTCTGGTGTCTCTGATCCCATCATGAGGGCCCCACCCTCGTGCCCTTGTCTGAACCTGATCATCTCCCAAAGACCCAGCACCAAACACCAGCACACTGGGAGGTAGGGCTTCAAGGCATTCGTTTTGGGGAACATAGCACAGTTGAGCTGATAGTACTTAGTGTGAACAAATATAAGGTGGTAGCATAAAAGCATATTTATTCCTTTTTCCTCTTCAAACCTATGTCTGCCCCCCTTCCCTAGTCCAGTTGTTTTCATTTAAATGGTATCCACCATTCATCTAGTTGATTTGGTAAAAAATCTAGGAGTCATCAGCCTTAATTTTGCTCTTTCTCTCACACCTAATACCCAAACTCTATAGATTCTAACTTCAAAAGACACCCTACATCTCTCCACTTACCTCATATGTGATACTACCACTAAGTCCAGCTGCCACTGGTTCTCACCAGGATTATTGTAGTAGCCTCCTATCTGGTTCCTGCTCCCATCTGTCTCCCTATAGCACATATACACTTGTGCGCTGCCACCACCTTTTTTCTATACTTTATATTACTTTTGTAAGATTCTCCATGTGTTGCATGTGGTTCTAGTTTGTTAACTTTTATAACTAGAGTATTCTATTCATAAATATACTACACTTTAGTTAGTCTACTCTTACAAGGTATTTGAGGTGTTTCCCATTTTGATCTATGTAGAACAGTGCTGCTATGAATATTCTTGTCCCTTGGTATATATGTTCATGTGTTCTTTGTGTGTATGACTTCATGAGTTCTGGGTTAGGAATGCTCTGTCATAGGACATCTCTATATTCAATGTTACTGAGTCAAGCCAAATAGGTTTCCAAGGTAGTTGTGTGACATTATACTACTGCTAGCAGAATATTGTTTTCATTGCTCTACACCCTTGGTGTTATCAGACTTTTAAATGTTTGCCAATCTTATGTGTGACTAATGGTTTCTCTCTGTGGCTTTAATATACATTTCCCTATTTATTAGCTGTTGGTTTAAATTCTTTCACGAAGTGTCAGCTTTTCTTTGGGGATTTTTTTCTCATTGATTTTAGAAGTTGAAAATACTTTCTTGATACAAGTCCTTTGTTNCAGTAGAAGGTTATACACTTGAACTCTTTTGTGTATTTTGTGTTTGTTGTGAGTGTAGTGTACTGTACGTGTTGTTGGTTTATTTTAGTGAGTGGTTTGTGGGGGTTTTTGGGATTTCTGAGCATTTATGTGCCTCGACGTGCTGGGTACCAGTCCCTGTTGTGGTATGCTGTGTGCGCTGTGTTCTTGTGTGTTTTGTGATGTTTTGCCTATGGCCTGTGGGACTTGCTTGTCTTCTGTGTTGTGTGTTGTCCGTGTGGTGTGTATTTTCACGTAATACGTGCGGTGTGTGTTCCGTACTGCTTGCTGAGTGCACAGTTCTGTGTATTTTTCACTGTGTGGTGTGGTATGTGAGATGTTGGTATTTGTGAGTGGTGTGTGTTGAGTGGTTCTTTGTGCATTGTATATTTCGCCTTTTTTGATGCGTTGTCTGTTGCCGGTTGTATAGGTCGTGTGTTTGGTGTGTGGCCTCCAGTCTAATGTTTAGTGTTACATGTGTCTGGTCTTTCTGTTGTTGTCTGTTGTGTTATGTACTGTGTTCTGGGTTTTGTGTGAGCTGACTTTGGGCTTTCTGTGCGTTACATACTGGGTAGATGTTGGGTGGGCTGTGTCATTTGAGCATTGTGTGTAATGTTGAGTTAGCCTAGTGTCGGACGTGCTGTGTGCATGTGTGGGTTTGGTTCGTACTCTCTGCGTGTGGGTCTGTGTGTGCCCTGAATTGTATGCTTGTGGCTGTGCATGCCGTGTGTAGTGCGTTATATGTGTGTTGCATGTGTTTTCGTCAGTTGTGGGTGGATTTGTATGTGTTGAGTCGGTTTTGTGTGTGTGATTGTGATTTGTGTGTTGTGTTAGAGAGGCCGTGTGTGTATTTGGCTGTTTGAGTTATGCACATGATGTGATATGTGTTGACTGTGTGTGGTTGTGTGTCCCGACCTGCAGACTATCAACGGGGGTCGACGACCTGGAGGAGAGAATTGAAAATTATTGGCAATGGACACAAGGAACGACCAGCCATACAGGATGTCTGATCACGCTGGCACAGTTTATTGTTTACAGGCTCAATTTTTACAAGTAGCTGTAAGGGGTGGGTCAGGAGATAATTGGACCTTAGGTGGCACCGACGAGGAGTTGTAGAAGGGTGACTGGGTCTTGTTTGGCGCCGCCGGGGCAGAGGACCTGTAAGAGAAGCGGGGAGTTCGCCATTTTGGTGGCGGGGGAGGTGTTTCTTGCTTAACAAAGGATAGAAAAGGCACATGCTGTGAGGTAGCCTAATCACTACTTCTAACTCAGAAATGCAAATGTTGCTAGGTAACTCTAACCTAGGAGTTCACTAAATGTGCTTCTTTATAATAGGGGAAAACTTGTTTCTAACGCGTGGTTGGGTTCTTTGTTGCTGACTTTACAGGAAAGATTTCTAGCTGATTTTACAGGAAAGATTTTCCTCAAAACGTTGCTGTTGTCTTAAGGCTTTTGTGACCGAATCTGCTTAAAGGCCCACCGATTTGCTCCCAACATCTCCCCCGTTTTTCTTATATTGAAACAGCCAGCCTAGCTGTGGCTGGGTCAAGGCCTGTGCCTGTCTTAGGTTGTACAGCTGAAGGAAATCCTTACCCGTCATGGGGCTATAGTCTTCTAGCGACTATACCCTGTCTTAGGTTGGTATTCCCTATACAACCATATCTTACCCGTCTTTGACTACCAGTCTTGACTTGATTTGTTGTAAGAATGAATATTTTTGAGTGAGAATTCTGTAAAGCTGAGTACTCCAAAGGGGGGTACAGGGGTCTGATCCTCAGTGGGTACCTGGCATATGGGTACCTGGCATGCGAGGAGAGCTCCTTTAGTCTTACAGACTGTGCTGAAGAGAAGGGAGTTGCTTGATGACGCACGAAATGTCCTTATTTTTTGAGGAGAGGAAGATGCTGGACACAAACCTCTATGCAATCAGACATGTCCCTCAAGGCAGGTTTTTTGCTGCAGTTACCCTGGGTACTCAGCCAGCTCACTCAAGGACTCTTAACATATCTGCTGGAGGAGGGAGCTTCTTCATCATCGCTATCACGAGCACGCCTGTCATTGTGGACTTGAATAGGCTCACTTACAAGGGTGTCTATTTGCTTTTTTACAAGGCTCGTCAGATGTTTAAGAGCCCAAGGGCCAAAAGACAAGAACAATATTAATCCTATAAGGGGGCCTAAGAGAGAGGGCAAAAGAGTAGTGACACATGGCGAGGTAGAGAACCAATTCTTATACCAACTTTCACTCTGCTCTTTCTATTCTTCTTTTCTCTAACCCTTCTCTGACTCTTCTCATACTATCTCTAACAACCCCTGTTTTATCAGCATAGAAACAACACTCTTCTTTTAGGGCGGCGCAAAGCCCGCCCTGCTGCAGAAAGAGCAGATCTAGTCCCCTGCGGTTTTGGAGAACTACTTCAGCGAGGGATGAGATAGAATCTGTCACGTCAGAGATTCCATTTTGCAATTCCTGGATATCTTGGTCTATAGTGGCACTGAGTTCGTGATAGCGAGAGTTAGAAAGAACTAAGGAAGAGATGCCCATACTGGCACCTACAGCTCCTAAGCCAAGCAAAACAGCAATAGTAACAGCAGTAATGGGTTCTTGGTGGGAGCGTTTAGGGAGGGAAGGGTCTGAAGATTGTTCTCAGATATGGAAGAACTCGTCAGACCGGTAGTAAATAAGCCTGGGTATAACTTTTACAAGAACACAAAATCCATGTTCTTGCAATACGGGGTTGTAAACACAGGGGGTGAGTCCATCTAAGCAGGCCCACCAAGCGTCTTTTGGGGGAATAATATATCGGGATCTCTGTTCAATGGGGAAGATTTCTCGACAGAGGTGAGTATACTCATGAGGGATCGTTTGAGGAATATTAGTTATACAAGTCCCATTACCGACTACTTGGGCTAAGGTTAGGCCTTCCCAACTAGCGCGTTCCCAACGACAGCTGTGAGTATCATTGGAGGTAGAGAAATTGTCAGGGATGGCAGCGCCTTCATAGACGGGGGGGAAGAGAGATAACATAACCAACATTTGGCGGTAAGCTCAGGGGTGGTGGAATTAATACTGAGGTCTGATTTATGAGAGTGCAGACAAGGTTTTTAGAACTCGCTGGAGTGGGCACTAGCGGTGTAGGGAAGGGTTTAAGACTACTAGCTGTAAAGCTATGTTTAGGTGAGAGGGTGGAGAGCTTTGGTGAGGGAAGGTGTTTCCCACCTAGGACTGTATTTGGGCCTATGGCAACAGAATGGGTGGCGGGAAGCTCTTTAAGGAGTCTAATAGAAAAGGTGATGCCTTCATCATAATGGTCTTTATATAAACGAAGGCCCCAAGTGTTATCCTTGCGCCCAGTTTGAGGCTTGCATCCCTTTTTCAGTAAGTGTGATGGAGAGAGGATTGCACCACCCTTTAGCCCTATTCTCAGATTTGCACTCGGGGAGTATTTCAGCGTATTTATGCCCTTCAAAGGGGCTGTGGGAATAATTGGCTTTGACAGTGATAAAGTCCCAAGAAGAAGAGGGTTTCCAGTAAGTATCTCCTGTAGTCTCACACCCCCATGATGCACAGTAATAATCTGTCTTGCCTCCGCATTTATGGAGGTGATGGGGCCGGTGTTGCCCGGGGCAAACATAAAAGGGATATGACCTAAGAACTGACCGGCACCCCGGGTCAGATCACCCAGGGTAGGCGAGACCTGCACGAGGGATAAAAGGCGCTTCACTCTGCTCGAAGAGATGTTCTACTCCCCAAGGGGCTCCTGCACCGAGGGCTAGCTTGCAGAGATCAGGCTGTAGAACGTTTGGCCACCAGATGTCTGGTGATGTTTGAGAGCGGGACCAAACAACGTCTCCTCTTTCAGACAGCACCACCCAGGTGTAGTTCCAGGGGAAATGCCGGGACTTCGCGGGAGGTGGCGCTGGCTGATGACTCAGAACTGTAGTGATCAGGAGAACGAGGATTGTTGGCGACTGCATCTGCAATGGAAGGAGAATTTGTCTCAGGCGGGGAGGGAGACTCCCGTCTGGACGGTGGTGAGTTAGCAGTTTTAACTAGTCTCTCAGGGAGCCATCGAGGCTCAGAGTTTTGCTGGTCATAAATGCAGACGGACCCTCTGCCCCAGATTATAACAGGGTCAGGACCTTTCCATGCAAAGGTCAGTGGGTCTTTCCATTTTACTAACGCTTGAAGCTCATTGGTTTTTGGGTGCCATAACCGATCGGCAGCTGAGCGTCCGTGGTAGTCGAGCATCAAGAAATTAATGACAAACAAGGCATGACTAAGTTGGTTATGGGGGCTGATGGTCGTATACACGAGGGGATTGTTCTTGAGGCGGGAGAGCGTGTTTTTAAGTGTTTGATGAGCTCGTTCTACAATCCCTTGCCCTTGGGGATTATAGGGGATGCCTGTGATATGTTTTATCTGGAAGTCAGAACAGAAGCGCTGGAATTTAGCTCCTGTGTAACCTGGCCCATTGTCGGTTTTTATAATTTTTGGCTTGCCCAGCACTGTAAAACAACGCAAGGTGTGGGTAATGACATCTTTAGAAGCCTCTCCGGTAAGGGGCGCTGCAAAGATAAAACCACTAAAGGTATCTATAGTAACATGAAGATATTTCATCTTTTTAAAGGGGGTGAAATAAGTGACATCCATTTGCCAAATTTCATTGGGGATCAGTCCCCCAGGGTTCACTCCTAAATGAGGAACAGGAAGATGTGGAGCACAGTCATTGCATCTTTTGACAATTTCTCGGGCTTGCTCTCTGGTAATTTTGAACATGAGCCACAGAGTATTTGCTGAAAGGTGGTGGGGGGAATGAGCATGCTGAGCTTGAGTTAGGGGTACACTGCTAAAAGTTGGTGCTATTAAGGGAAGAGTAAGGGTGGCTTGGTCAACAAGGGCATTGCTTTCCGCCCACTTGTATCTTTTCCCAAGCTTTCAGACAACACAGATGTACTTCTATTATTGCTGTACCTTCGTACCCAGCTTGTCTTTCTAACTGCAGCCAATCTCCTTGTCTGCCAGCTGTTCAGCAGTTATAAGAATTGGAGGATTGGCACACTGATTTGCTTCTTCATGCCACCTTGTTTTGAATTGTAAAAACTCAGAAGTCTAGACAGGTATGAGCTAATAAATCCCAATCATGAAGAATCATCCTTTCTTGTTCTACCAACCCCAAGAGATCTGCAACATATGGTGAATTAGTGCCATAAGTAGAGATGGCTTGTTTAAAATCTTTTAATGTTTTATAAGGAATGGGCATATAAAGTGCTCTGACTGCACCTAGTGGAAAATAGACATCCTCACCTGGCCTAAAAGAATTAAATTAACTGGTGTCACTAAGGGCATCAAATAAGCATTCTACATCACCCTCTCTCTGGTCTTTGAGTATTCCTGCTACGAAGGAACATTTACTTGATTTTACCACATCATCTAAGAGTTCTCTCTTGTTCCTGTGTGTCAGATTTAGTTTCAGACAGTGAAGAAGTCTGCAAAGGCTGCAAGAGTGATCAGATTACATAAAGACCAGACAGACACAGGGATAACATTCTCCCTGTCTGTGAGCCTTTTTAAAATCCCTTAATACATTATTCCGATCAGCCTGTTTAAGGGTCCCCCGTGGTGGCAGCCAATAACAATGTTTCTTAATATATTTATGAAGTTGAGCAAAATCCCTTTAGAAGTTCTCACTCCTCATGTTTTTAGGAGGGCACGGAGTAATTTTAAATCATCCTCCAAATTAGCAACTTTAGATTCGTTTTGGCCCATTATAGTGTCCCTGACGTCTCGATCCTACACGCGCTTTCCCTGGAGGCTTACAGGATCAACGATCTTTGGAGCTTGCCGGGTCTGCATTTCAAGAGTCGCCCAGAAAGGAGCTTCCCCGCTCTGAGTTTCAACAGTCCCTGTTCAGGTGCCACTTGTCGTTCCCCTCCCTGCTTCCGACCCACAGTCAAGAGAGGAGATGTGAAGAGATATCGAAGACCTGAAAGGGCCAGCCAGGGGACTCAAGGCGTAACAGCTCAAGAGTAATGCCGAAAAGGCATTTCTCGTATTTGTTGAATAAATGAACTTACAATGAAATCAAACATCATTATCCGGCCTTGAGACGTGATGCTTCTCAAGGATACCGAAACTATGTGAAGATGGCCTCAAGCTATGAGAACTGCTTTGGTTCTCATCACTCAGTCCTTAATTACACATCAACAGAGTGTGTGAGAAAAACAATCAAGTCATGTGTGCTTATACATTTGATTTCCACCTTACTTGAAATATATATTAACTCTACCAATCCCACAAGGCACCTGAAGAAAGACTCTTTTAGGGCCTTGTTTCCTGAGGGCCCTAGAAGAGGATGCACAGTGCAGGCTCTTCCCCTATGTGAAATAGCAATGCCCTGAAGATGCCTTTGTAGTAAAGTGAGAAAGGGTTGCAGGAGAGCCTTATGCCACACTCTGCTGGGGGAAAAATCCACAGACACTGAGGAGGCCTGCCTGAGAGAATGCTAGGCTACTTTCCCCTTGCATTCAACTTTCTCGTATGTGATATGGAAAACATAGTAAACATTGCAGTAGAAGGCAGTCTTCTCTATATGCCCTCTAACTCACAGAGATAAGTGTTCTGTTAATAGGCCTTATCAGTAGTCACATGGGAAGGTGTAGAACAAGACGCTTCCTAATGACAGCAGTGGAAGCAAGTCAGATTTGGATTCAGCTTAGGTGAGTAAAAGAAGGCAATGCAGGATGCCCATTTCAAGTAATCATTCAAGTCTTCATTGAGGATGCTGTAGCTGAGTTTACAATGTGCTTTCCGTGTCTGTCCTGTGTGCCTGCACTCTAACCGGCTGAATGAAGTCTGTCCCCATTTAGCCCACTTGCTGAGCGAGAGAAGCTCGCAAGGGTGGCCATTTAGCCTGAGGCCTTTCAGAGGCAGCCTGGCTGAGAGAGAAACGCTTGCATACAATGATTTCAGCTTGGAAGTTTTAAAGTGAACTATTTTTCTGCAACTGCATGGCGGCTTCAGAGGCCCAGAGTAAACTCTTCCCTGTCAGCACATCTCCATGCCACAGAGCTCTACAAACTAGGTGCACATTGACTTCGAGCCCCCAAGTAACATCTCACAAGAGGTGTGTGCAAGCCTTATCCACAGCCGGGAGGAGGATGGGCCCTGAGCCTCAGAGCTGCAGTCCCGCAGAGAAGGCTCTCAGGCTGTCTCTGTTCCCGTGATTTGCATCACAGACATAAGATTGACAGCTAAGCATTGCTCTGGCAAGGTGTGCTACTTATATATACTTGTACTCCCAGACAAAAGTATACTGTGAAAAGGTTCTGTCTAGTCTCAGGGAAGAAGCAGGGCATGTTGCTGTATGCACAGCAGTGGAAGCGTGATGGATGGGCGTTCTGTTCAATAGGCCATAAGCAGACAGCACCGGAAGCCTTTTTCAGCTAAGCTGCTCTTTATGGCTAATGCAGGTGAATTCAAACCTGCCCTGGAAATTGTTCTGGTATAACTAAGCTCTAACTTGATGAACTAACACTGCAACCAATGCCTTTTAGTTACTTGCTCCTCACTCATATAACTTGGGATGGCAAAACCTAGGTGTGCCTGGGTGTCCTCTGTGAATGCTGCTAAAGTCCAGGAGATACATGGGCTTCAGATAGGACTTCCAACCACATTTCAGGGATGATGCCTTTGGGGCTCCTTACAATTGATCATCCAGTCATCCCAACAAAGCACTGCTTAGGCCTGAGCTCTATCAACCTGAACTAACCATGTGCAGAACAGCTCTCTCTCCATGACCTTCACAGAGAAAGAATTGTGTTCTATGAGTCTCAGGTTAAATGCTTTAGTGCAGGCCCAAGACTGTGGCATTCAAGCACACTGAAGAAAGACTCTTTTAGGGCCTCGTTTCATGAGGGGTCTAGAAGAGCATGCACAGTACCACCTCTTCCCCTGTGTGAAATAGCAATAGCCTGAAGATTTCTTTTAGTAAAGGGTCAGAAACTGCAGCAGGAGAGCCTTATGCCAGACTCTGATATGGAAACAATCCACAGAGCACTGAGGATGCCTGCCTGAGAGAACGCTAGGCTGCTTTCCCCTTGCACTCAACTTTCTCCTATGTGATGTGGAAAACATCATAAACATTGCAATAAAAGGCAGTCTTCTCTATATGCCCTCTAACTCACAAAAATAAGTGGGCTATGAAGAGACCTTATCACTAGCCATATGGGAATTTTCAGAACAAGATGCTTTCAAACGACAGTGGAAGCAAGACAGATTTGTATTCAGCTTAGGTGGGTAAAAGAAGGCAATGCAGGATGTCCATTTCAAGAAATCATTCAAATCATCGTTGTGGATGCTGTAACTAAACCTGCAATGCACTTTCCATGTCTGTCATGTGTGCCTGCACTCTAACTGCCTGAATGAAGTCTGCCCCTTACTGAGTGGAAGATGCTCACTTGTGTGGCTGTTTAGCCTGAGGCCTTACTGAGGCAGTCTGGCTTAGAGAGAAAAATTTGCATTCAATGAATTCAGTTTGGAAGTTTAAAAGGGAGCTTTTTTTCTGCTACTGCCTGGCTGCTTCAGATAGGCCCAGAGTAAACTGTTCGCTATAAACCCATCTCCCGTACCACAGGCTGAGCTCTGGAAATGGTGCAATTTGGCTTGGATGCCTCTAGTAACATGTAACAGGAGGTGTGTGCAAGCCTCTCCACAGTCTGGTGGGGGATGGGCCCTAAGCCACAGAGATGCAGTACCCCAGGTAGAGCTCTGAGGCTGTCTCTGTCCCAGTGATTTCCTTCTCAGACATATCCAGATTGACAGCTATATATTGCTCTGGCAAGATGTGCTACTTATATGTACTTGTACACACATACAAAATTATACTCTAAAGAGGTCTTTTGCCTAGACTCAGTGGAACAAGCAAGGCATGTTGCTATGCATAGCAGTGGAAGCAGGACAGATGGGCATGCTGTTC